TTCATAGTGTCCAGTCTTATATTTAGGTCTCTAATCCATTTTGACTTTATTTTTATGTATGATGTTAGGGAGTGTTCTAATTTCATTCTTTTACATGTAGCTGTCCAGTTTTCCCAGCACCACTTATTGAAGGGGCTGTCTTTTTTTTCTTTGTTTTCGGTATGCGGGCCTGTCACTGTTGTGGCCTCTCCCATTGCGGAGCACAGGCTCCAGACGCGCAGGCTCAGCGGCCATGGCTCACGGGCCCAGCCGCTCCACAGCATGTGGGATCTTCCTGGACTGGGGCACGAACCTGTATCCCCTGCATCAGCAGGCGGACTCTCAACCACTGCGCCACCAGGGAAGCCCTGAAGGGGCTGTCTTTTCTCCATTGTATATTCTTGCCTCCTTTGTTATAGATTAGTTGACCATGTGTATGTGGGTTTATCTCTGGGCTTTCTATCCTGTTGCATTGATCTATATTTCTGTTTTTGTGCCAGTACCATATTGTCTTGATTACTGTAGCTTTGTAGTATAGTCTGAAGTCAGGGAGTCTGATTCCTCCAGCTCCGTTTTTTTCCCTCAAAACTGCTTTGGCTCTTTGGGGTCTTTTGTGTCTCCATACAACTTTTAAGATTTTTTGTTCTAGTTCCGGAAAAAATGCCATTGGTAATTTGATAGGGATTGCATTGAATCTGTAGATTGCTTTGGGTAGTATAGTCATTTTCACAATATTGTTTCTTCCAATCCAAGAACATGGTATATCTCTCCATCTGTTGGTATCATCTTTAATTTTTTTCATCAGTGTCTTATAGTTTTCTGCATACTGGTCTTTTGTCTCCTTAGGTAGGTTTATTCCTAGGTATTTTATTCTTTTTGTTGCAGTGATAAATGGGAGTGTTGCCTTAATTTCACGTTCCGATTTTTCATCATTAGTGTATAGGAATGCAGGAGATTTCTGTGCATTAATTTTGTATCCTGCAACTTTACCAAATTCATTGATTAGCTCTAGTAGTTTTCTGGTGGCATCTTTAGGATTCTCTATGTATAGTATCATGTCATCTGCAAAAAGTGACAGTTTTACTTCTTCTTTTCCAATTTTGTATTCCTTTTATTTATTTTCCTTCTCTGATTGTCGTGGCTAGGACTTCCAAAACTATGTTGAATAATAGTGGTGAGAGTGGACATCCTTGTCTTGTTCCTGATCCTAGAGGAAATGCTTTCAGTTTTTCACCATTGAGAATGATGTTTGCTGTGGGTTTGTCGTATGTGGACTTTACTATGTTGAAATAGATTCCCTCTGTGCCCACTTTCTGGAGAGTTTTTATCATAAATGGGTATTGAATTGTGTCAAAAGCTTTTTCTGCATCTATTGAGATGATGCTACGTTTGTTTGTTCCCTTTCATTAACATCTTGGATTAGTGTGATACATTTGGTCATATGGTTTTTATTCTTCAAGTTGTTAACATGGTGTATCACATTGATTGATTTGCGTATATTGAAGAATCCTCGCATCCCTGGGATAAATCCCACTTGATCACGGTGTATGGTTCTTTTAATGTGCTGTTGGATTCTGTTTGCTAGTATTTTGTTGAGGATTTTTGTGTCTATATTCACCAATGATATTGGTCTATAATTTTCTTTTTTTGTGATATATTTGTCTGGTTTTGGTATCAGGGTGATGGTGGCATCATAGAGTGAGTTCGGGAGCGTTCCTCCCTCTGCAATTTTTTGGAAGAGTTTGAGAAGGATAAGTGTTAACTCTTCTCTAAATGTTTGATAGAATTCACCTGTGACGCCATCTGGTCCTGGACTTTTGTTTGTTGGAAAATTTTTAATTGCAGTTTCAATTTCATTATCTGTGATTAATCTGTTTATATTTTCTAATTCCTCCTCTTTCAATCTTGGAAAGTTGTACTTTTCCAAGAATTTGTCCATTTCTTCCAGGTCATCCATGTTACTGGCATGTAGCTGCTTGTAGTAGTCTCTTACGATCTTTTGTATTTCTGTGGTGTCAGTTGTAGTCTCTCCTTTTTCATTTCTAATTTTATTGATTTCATTACTCTCCCTTTTTTTCTTGATGATTCTGGCTAGAGGTTTATCAATTTTGTTTATCTTCTTAAAGAACCAACTCTTAGTTTTATTGATCTTTGCTATAGTTTTCTTCATTTCCATTTCATTTATCTCTGCTCTTTATGATTTCTTCTTTCTACCAACTTTGCATTTTCTTTGTTCTTCTTTTTCTAGTTGCTTTAGGTGTAAGGTTAAGTTGTTTATTGAAGATTTTTCTTGTTTCTTGAGGTGAGCTTGAATTGCTATGAACTTCCCACTTGGAACTGCTTTTGCTTTGTCCCATAGGTTTTGGATCATTGTTTGCGTTGTCAGTTGTTTCTAGGTTTTTTTTTTTATTTCTTCTTTGATTTCTTCAGTGATCTCTTGGTTATTTAGCAGCACACTGTTTCGCCTCCATGTGTTTGTGTTTTTTATTGTTTTTTTCCTGCAGTTGATTTCTAATCACATAGTGTTGTGGTCAGAAAAGATGCTTGATATGATTTCAGTTTTCTTAAGTTTTCCAAGGCTTGATTTGTGACCCAAGATGTGATCTATTCTGGAAACGTTCTGTGTGCACTTGAGAAAAAAGTGTAGTCTTTCGCTTTCGGGTAAAATGTCCTAAAAATATCAATTAAGTCTATCTGGTCTGTGTCATTTAAAGCTTCTGTTTCCTTATTTATTTTCTGTCTGGGTGATCTGTGTATTGGTGTAAGTAGGGTGTTAAAGTCCCCCACTTTTATTGTGTTACTGTCGATTTCTCCTTTTGTGGCTGTTAGTATTTGCCTTATGTATTGAGGTGCTCCTATGTTGGGTACATAAATATTTATAATTGTTATGTGTTCTTCTTGGATTGATCCCTTGATCATTATGTAGTGTCCTTTCTTATCTCTTGTAACAGTCTTTATTTTAAAGTCTATTTTATCTGATGAGTATTGCTACTCCATCTTTCTTGTGATCTCCGTTTGCGTGGAATATCTTTTTCCATCCCCTCACTTTCAGTCTGTATGTGTCCCTAGGTCTGAAGTGGGTTTCTTGTAGACACCATATATAAGGGTCTTGTTTTTGTATCCTTTCACCTAATCTGTGTCTTTTGGTTGGAGCTTTTTTTTTTTTTTTTTGCGGTACATGGGCCTCTCACTGTTGTGGCCTCTCCCGTTGTGGAGCGCAGGCTCAGCAGCCATGGACCATGGGCCCAGCCGCTCCGCGGCATGTGGGATCTTCCCGGACCAGAGCACGAACCTGTGTCCCCTGCGTTGGCAGGCGGACTCGCAACCACTGTGCCACCAGGGAAGCCCTTGGTTGGAGCTTTTAATCCATTTACATTGAAGGTGATATCGATATGTGTGTTCCTACTACCACTTTCTTAATTGATTTGGGTTTGTTTTTATGGGTCTTTGTTTTCTCTTGTGTTACCTGCTTAGAGAAGTTCCTTTAGCATTTGTTGTAAACCTGGTCATTGGTTTCGAATTCTCACAGCTTTTGCTTTGTCAGTAAAGCTTTTGATTTCTATGTCAAATCTGAATGAGACCCTTGCTAGGTAGACTAATTTTGGTTGTAGGTTTTTCCCTTTCATCACTTTAAATATGTCCTGCTACTCCTTTCTGGCTTGCAGAGTTTTTGCTGAAAGATAAGCTGTTAACCTTATTGGGATTCCCTTGTATGTTATCTGTTGCTTTTCCCTTGCTGCTTTTAATATTTTTTCTTTGTATTTAATTTTTGATAGTTTAATATGTGTGTCTGTGTGTGTCTCTTTGGGTTTATCCTGTATGGGATTCTCTGCCCTTCCTGGACTTGATTGACTATTTCCTTTCCCATGTTATGGAAGTTTTTGACTATAATTTCTTCAAATATTTGTTCAGACCTTTCCTTTTTCTCTTCTCCTTCTGGGACCTCTATAATTTGAATCTTGGTGCGTGTAATATTGTCCCAGCGGTCTCTGAGACTGTCCTCAATTCTTTTCATTCTCTTTTCTTTATTCTGGTCCCCAGCAGTTATTTCCCCCATTTTATCTTCCAGCACACATATTCGTTTTTCTGCCATTTGTTCCTTCTAGAGTTTTGGGGGGGGGGGTTTGGGGTTTTTTTTTTTGCGGTACACGGGCCTCTCACTGTTGTGGCCTCTCCCATTGCGGAGCACAGGCTCCAGACGCGCAGGCTCAGCGGCCATGGCTCAACGGGCCCAGCTGCTCCGCGGCACGTGGGATCTTCCCGGACCAGGGCACGAACCCGTGTCCCCTGCATCGGCAGGTGGACTCTCAACCACCGCGCCACCATGGAAGCCCCTTCTAGAGTATTTTTAATTTCAGTTATTGTGTTGTTCATCATCGTTGTTTGCTCTTTAGTTCTTCTAGATCCTTGTTAAACATTTCTTGTATTTTCTCCATTGTGTTTCCGAGATTTTGGATCATCTTTACTGTCATTACTCTGAATTCTTTTTCAGGGGTTGTCTATTTCGTCTTCATTTATTTGGTCTTGTAGGTTTTTACCTTGCTCCTTCGTTTGTAATGTATTTTTTTGTTGTTTCAATTTTTTTTTTTTTTTTGATGGCTAGGGCTGTATTCCTGTCTTACAGGTTGTTTTTCCTGAGGGGTCCAGCACTGGTGTTTGCAGGCCGTTGTGTAGAGCGGGTCTTGGTGCCTAGATGAGGACCTCTAGGAGGCTTCACCCTGATTAATATTCCCTGGGGTCTGAGGTTCTCTGTTAGTTCAGTGGTTTGGATTTGGTGCTCCCACCACAGGAGCTCAGGCCCAACCTCTGGCCCAGTCACTGGGGGTTCCTCCTGTCCCCTTAGGGGACTGGTGCCTGGTAGGTGCCCTCTTTGTACCAAGGCACGAATTCCACATCCTTCTAGTCTGCCATCTTGACTCCCTGTCTTCTCTTCAAAGTATTTTCATATCTCTCTTTGGTCATATAAAGTATAAGCCCAGTTTGTTTCTTACTCATTATGAAATTAATGTGTGTCTTCCTAGGTCACCAAACGTGATGAAGACTCTTCTTTGATGCAGCTGAAAGAAGAATTTAGAACGTATGAAGCTCTGCGGCGAGAACATGACTCCCAGATAGTGCAGATTGCTATGGAAGCAGGCTTACGAATTGCACCAGACCAGTGGTCCTCTTTGCTTTATGGGGACCAGTCTCACAAATCTCATATGCAGTCCATTATTGACAAGGTAAACCCTTTTTTGTTCCTTACTTCTTGGACTAATCATGGAGTTTTGGTAATTCATTTATTTAATAAGTGTATATTTAAGTGAATCCTGTATGTCAGGCTCTTATAAATTATATTCTCTTTAGCTGAGTGTCATGTCATAACTAGTCACATCATAGTAGCAGTTTGTTCATGTAAAGATTTTTTAAATTGAGGTATAATTGACATTGTTCATATAAGATTTGATTTAATTAGTTTTAATGCTTTGTCCAGTGCTGTCTCACATTCCTGTGACAGTCTCCTCTCTCTATTTTTTCATTGCCTTTCTTCTTTTATTGTTTTCTGAGTTTTGATCACTGTATTAGTTGAATTCATTTTCTAAACACCTTTATTGTCTTCCTGGAACAGCCATTTAATGGCCTGGAAGATGTATACATTGAGGTTTCTTGTGATTCTTAGCCAGAAAAATTTCACATTATAAGTTACCAGCCATTCTATATTTGATCAAATTTTCAGTACACTTATTTCTACTTTATTTGTTGTTTGTTATGATGAAAAGATCACTTGAGTACACATGAAATTTTAGGTCAGGCCCCACTATTTCTGACTCTAAGAGTTATATTTAATTCTTTTAAAACTATAGAATAATACTTAAACTGGTTTTGTTGCAGTTCAACATGAAATACATGAAAGTGCTGTATAAAAATCTTCAAAGTGCCATGTAAATATATTATGTTCAATAATTTTTTTAAATTTTTACTATTTACCTTAATTTTTACTATTTTAAGTCCTTATAACCATAAAGATGATTATACATTAGAATCCACCTTACATTTAATTTAAAGAAATAATGTCGGGACTTCCCTGGTGGCACAGTGGTTGGGAGTTCACCTGCCAATGCAGGGGACACAGGTTTGGACCCTGGTCTGGGAAGATCCTAAATGCCGCGGAGCAGCTGGGCCCGTGTGCCACAACCACTGGGGCCTGTGCACCTAGAGCCTGTGCTCCACAATGAGGGAGGCCACCACAGTGAGAAGCCTGCACACCACAGTGAAAAGTATCCCCCACTCGCTGCAACCGGAGAGGGCCTGCGCGCAGCTGCAAAGACCCAGCACAGCCAAAAATAAATACATTAAATAAATAATTTTTTTTAAAAAAGAAATAATGTTAGTATGTAAGAGTAGCCTAAATAAAATAATATTTAACACTTACTGAGAGCTTAGTGTGTGTCTGGTGGTTTTATTTTATTTTTTTATTTTAGTGCATTAATACTTTACTCAGAATAGTTTAGTTTAGCTTAGTTTAGTTTATGTTAGTTTAGTTTAGTTTCGTTCAGTTTAGTTTTTGGCCGCACCGCGTGGCTTGCAGAATCTTAGTTCCCTGACCAGGGATTGAATCCTGGCCACAGCAGTGAAAGTGCCAAGTCCTATCCATTGGACTGCCAGGGAGAGCTTCCTATCTGGTGGTTTTAAATAATTCATTTAATCTTCTCAACAGCCCTGTGTTATCCCTTTTATACAGAGACAGAGGGAGATTAAATACATTTCTCCAGGATCATGTAGGTAATAACTGACAAAGCTGGATTTGAACTTGAACATTCTGACTCTAGAATCCCTGCTCTTAACTACTAAACTCTTTCCAGACTATTCTCCCCCCACCCCACGCCACCCTTTTTTTTTTTTTTGCTATTCCTAAAGGTAGAATTCTTGAAATAAGTAGAAGGTTGATGTCAAAGGAGAATTAGGAAATATTTTATAACTGCATGGTGTGTAATTGTCAGTATAATGTGTATTATTTGTTCTGTCCTATAGATACCTTTATCAAAACTTCACCTGCAACTCCTAGGCCTGAAATTTTGCAGTGGACTGATTATAACCTTAATCATGATCTTTTAAAGGAGTGGCTTTCTACCTCTGAAGAGAAACTTGACTTGCTTTTATGAAAATTCTACAAGGAGGTTAAATTAACCTTCTTGTCTGAACTGGACTATATAACTAGATGTATATCCTGCAATAATTTTCTCACACCATGAGCAGTAATTTGAATTTAATATCCTAAACCTTCTTACAACGATCTGGTAAATGAAGTTAGCAGTGTGACATCTTATTATTATATAGAGCAATAGAACTTCGTGTGATAATGAAAATGTTTGGTATACATGCATTGTCCAGTATGGTGACCACGAGCCACACTTGGCTATTAAACACTTGATGTGTAACTTGTGTAACTGATGAACTAAAATTTTTATTTTACATACTTAAAATTTTTAATAGCCATATGTTGCTAATGACTACTGTATTGGACAGTGCAAATGGAGAATTTATTAAAAGTGATAAGGAAAGGAATAACCCTAGTAAGTTAATAGGCAAAAAAACATGAAATAACAGTTCACAAACAGGAAGTATATCTAATTGATGGACTAGAATTCAATGCCAATAATAAATACATTTAAAGCAGTGACATGCCAAATATTGCCTGTTAAACTATAAAGAAACATATACTCTCATTCATTGCTGATGGTTTGTAAAATGCATTACAGTTCTTTTGAGAAACAATTTGTCAGTGAAGCCTCAAAATATTCGTGTACTTTACCAAACCTACTATTTCCAGGAATTTATTTTAAGGGAATAATCCAAACTTTCAAAAAGGTTATGAATGCAAAGGTGTTAATTGCTAAATTATTTACAAAGGATAAAATAAAGGGATGGTTAAAGAAGTTAAGATGCATCTGCTCAGAACACTGTTACATGGCCATTAAAATTGTGGTCATGTCAGGACAGATACTCTATTCAGCTGTTAAGTAGCACTTGATTTCTTTTAAAAAAAATGTTAGTGAAATATTTTTGTTAAGTCTCAGTGGTAGATACATGGGTATTATTACATTAGACAGTTACTTTGAAGTATTTCATAATAAAAATGGTTAGGTATTTTAAAAATACCTTTGTTGGGCTTCCCTGGTGGCGCAGTGGTTGAGAATCTGCCCGCTGATGCAGGGGACACGGGTTCATGCCCCGGTCCAGGAAGATCCCACATGCCACGGAGCGGCTGGGCCCGTGAGCCATGGCCGCTGACCGAGCCTGCGTGTCCGGAGCCTGTGCTCCGCAACGGGAGAGGCCACAACAGTGAGAGGCCCACGTACCGCAAAACAAACAAACAAACAGAAAAAAACCTTTGTTATAATATTAATGGTAGGCAAATCCATAAGTTTATAAATAGCTGATTATAAGTATATGAAAAACATGCAAAGATGAAAAAATTGAATAAAGACATGCCAGCATTTTAATGATTAGTTGTGTTATTCCATGTTTTTTAAAATGTATGCTTTTAAAAAATTTACCTTTTAGAATGACCTTTGGGGGAGAAAAATTCCACATGTATATATATACATATATATATATTTTTTTTTTAAGTGAAAGTGAGTTTATTTAGAGATACTCCATAGGCAGAATGCTGTCAGTCTCAGAAGTGAGAGCAGCCCTCATCTATATTAATAAACTACATAGAGAGCTAAGTGTTTCCAAGAAAGAACCCTTAGTTAGTATCACATAACCAGTTTTTTTACTTTACGGGTCATATGTATTGACCAGCTTAGGGGAGTTATTGCAAGTATGTGTGTCATTAAGCCTTAAGAAAATACACAACCTGATAGCTTCCAAGAATCCCAAACCAATATAGGATTTTTTGAACTGGAATGAACCTCTCAAATTATTTAGTCCATACAACAGGTGGAGTTCAGATAGAGTCTGTAAAGGTTATATCTGATGTCATAATCTTTGGTCCATAACAGAACTTGAATTCAAACACAGTTTGAGTACAGTTTCATTGTTCGTGCTGTCGTATAGCATTATCTCTAGACTGTATTTCCAAACTTCAATTATTTGGAAAGATCCCAAGAGCCAAACTAACACAGTACTGTAAGAACTGGAGATGTAAAGAGTATTTCCAAATTGAGGAGGTGAGAAAGATCTCACATTTGAGGAATGTGATGGCAGAGGGAAGAGAGTACACAATATATCAACCTGTGGATGCAGAGAAGTGCAGGGTTTGTTCAAGTAACAAGTGATCCAGTCTGGCCAGAGCATGGGATGTGTGGGAGGATAAAAATTAAATATAATTAATTGGAAAAATGGTTGTGATATTGTAAATAATCTTTATTTTAAAAGGATTATCTGGTCTTTGGGGGAAGTTAATATTTATCTTTTATTAAGTTGCAGACCCCAGCCTCTTTTGCGCAAAGTGTTCAGGAACTAACAATTGCTCTCCAGAGGACTGGAGATCCAGCAAACTTGAATCGACTAAGACCCCATTTGGAGCTATTAGCAAACATTGACCCTAGTCCAGGTAAGCCCAAGGGAAATTAACGGACTATCCTATATGTGCCTTAGTGCTATTCAGTGAGTCTGTTAATTATCTTTTGTTACATTTCTCTAGAATTACCCGGTGTAGTAATTCCAGATCTTTTCTATAGTATTTAAGTTTCTGGCCCCAATCTTGTCTGTCTCTTTATTACTTCAACTAGTATTTATTTAATACTTTTTACTGTGCTGCTCACTTTACCAGCAAAATAGGTTCCCTCTGGGATCCTTTATGTTTCCTCCCTCTCTCATCACAAATTGTGCTCTATTTTTACCATTTTCATCTCTTTTGACAAAACTCAAGTTTTCTCATTTTTTCTGTATCATATGTCCTTAGTTGCATTTTTTTGGTCCCAACTTTACTTTCTCTACGATAATCTTGTTCCATCACATATCCTCCCTTGTGTGTCTACTTTGTCCAGCCATTTCCTGTTCCTTCTCCTTGACCTGAAAGTCACCCAACCTTCATTTTTCACTTAATATTACATCTAGGGTGTGTTAGCTTATATCCTATTGCTGTCCCTGTGTTTATTCCTACTACTGAACTAAAATTCTTTTTTTTTTTTGTGGTACGCGGGCCTCTCACTGTTGTGGCCTCTCCCGTTGTGGAGCACAGGCTCCAGATGCCCGGGCTCAGCGGCCATGGCTCACGGGCCCAGCCGCTCTGCTGCATGTGGGACCTTCCCGGACCGGGGCACAAACCCATGTCCCCTGCATCGGCAGGCGGACTCTCAACCACTGTGCCACCAGGGAAGCCCTGAACTAAAATTCTTAACATTCACTAGTAATTTCCTAGTTTCTAATTCCAAAGATTTCTTCTCGGTCCTTAAATAACTTGATTTGTCTTCAGCATTTGATAATGTTGTTGACCACTTCCTTGATATGGAAACTCTCCTGATACCTTATCTTTCTGTAGTATTATGATTCTCTTCTGGCCTGTCTGAATGCTGGTTCTGTCGTATCTCTTTCCTCTTCTGCCTCCTAAGGAGTAGGCTGGTTGTGTTCTTGGAATTTTGTTTTTTCTGCGCTCTTCTGTTGATGATGATGGTCATTCATTCTCAGCATCAGGTATTATTCCTTTATAGATAATAGACTCCCAAATATCTCTATCACTGTTATCTCTTCATCACTCCAGACCTACTTTCCCAAATGCTTTCTGAGATTCTGTATCCTCTCCTCTCCTCAGTGTGTTTCAAAACAAACTCATCTTCCCTTGATACATGCTCTTCCTCCTGTCTTCCCTTTCTCTGTAAATGACCTCATTCTCTGAGGTATGTAAGCTTAAAACTTGAGTGTTTTGTCTTACTTTATATCTTTTCCTTTCACTTGCTCTACATACCATTTCAGACAACAGGATTTTTTTTTTTTTAGCTGCATTGGATCTTCATTGCTGCACACGGGCTTTCTCTAGTTGTGGCAAGTGGGAGCTACTCTTCGTTGCAGTGCGTGGGCTTCTCATTGCAGTGGCTTCTCTTGTTGCGGAGCACGGGCTCTAGGCACATGGGCTTCAGTAGCTGTGGCACGTGGGCTCAGTAGTTGTGGCACACAGGCCCTAGAGTGCAGGCTCAGTAGTTGTGGTGCATGGGCTTAGTTGCTCTGCAGCATGTGGAATCTTCCTGGACCAGGGCTTGAACCCTTGTTTCCTGTATTGGCAGATGGATTCTTAACCACTGTGCCACCAGAGAAGCCCTAGACAACAGGATTTATCTGTTCTTTCACAATATCCCTCTATCCCATGCCTTTTAATACTGCCTCAGTTGAGGGCCTCATTCCTTTTCCTGAGACTAAACTTAGCCTTTCATTTTTCTCTACTCTTTTAATTCTTCCTTATAGTCTACTTACTGCTGCAAAATGAATCACATCTCAGATCTTATTTTACACTCATAAACTTTTAGTGACACCCCTTTGCTTATAGAATAAGGTTTGGAACTCTTGACCATGACATTCAGAGTAGTAAATTTATTACCAAAATCGCTTAATCAAACCAGGTAAGATCTTTTTTTATGTTTTTATTTTATTACTTTTTAAAAATTATTTATTTTTTTTGGCTGTGCTACACGGCATATGGGATCTTAGTTCACCAACCAGGGGTCAAACCCAGGCCCAGCGCAGTGAAAGGGCAGAGTCTTAACCACTGGACTGCCAGGGAATTTCCCTAAGATCTAATTTTAGAACACAGTGATTTTTTTTTTCCCCCACTTCTGTGCTTTGATCATTCTGAGCAATCAGAAGAGCACTTCACAAGCTCACTACCTCATCAACACTGATCTGTCTACCTAATTCTGTGCCAATATATTCTACTCTCCTTGTGTAATAGTGGATAAACCATGTAACAGTGGATAAACTTCTAGCTAAGGCCACCCTCTCTCCTCATGTACCAATATCATCTTGTCAAATATATCCTTCCAGTATCATCTGTTTCTTATGTCATCAGTTTTCTTTCTCTACTAGAGTAGCTCTGTCAACATACAAACGTTTTACTGTTCCTGTCATCAAAACCCACTTTTAAAAAAATTAATTTATTTATGTATTATTTTTGGCCGTGTTGGATCTTCGTTGCTGTGCGTAGGCTTTCTCTAGTTGCAGCAAGCGGGGCTTCTCTTGTTGCGCAGCACGGGGTCTAGGTGTGCCGGCTTCAGTAGTTGTGGCACGCATACTCAGTAGTTGTGGCGCACAGGCTTAGTTGCTGCGAGGCATGTGGGATCTTCCCGGACCAGGGCTCGAACCCATGTGCCCTGCATTGGCAGGTGGATTCTTAACCACTGTGCCACCAGGGAAGCCCAAAACCCACTTTTGACACCATTTGTCATCTACCTACGATTCCAGTTCTCTCCTTTTTATAGCACTCTCTTGAATGCAGTCCAATCAGGCATTTATCTCTACCACTCAATCAAAATTGCTTTTGTTAAAGTCACAAGTGATTTCCATGCAAATGTCAATTCTTGGTTCTTTTTGTGTTTGACCTGTTAGCAACATTTAACATTGTTTACTCACTACTCCTTGTACCACTCTTTTAACTTCCAGGCCACCACGCCCCCCTAGTTTTCTTCTCACTTTATTGAACCCTCCTTCTTAGCCTCTTTTGCTGATTTCTTCTCATCTCCATAGCCTCTAAACTTTTTTTTGTTTTTTTCCCATAGCATCTCACCTTTTTTTCCCCATAGCCTCTAACCCTTGAAGTGCTTCCAGAATTTAATCCTTGTGTCTCTTTTCTATTTATACTCATTTCCCAGGTAATCTCATGTAGTGTCTTCAAAGTTTCATGGCTTTAAATATTTTTTATATGACTCACACATTTACTATATTTCATCAATTCTGAAGCTCACATTTTTTTTTCAGATTTTAGCATTTCCGAAACTGGGCTGCATTTGTATAATCAATGACAGGTGATAATTAGCAATCTTTTCCATTTTGGTAGCACATAAAATAATGGTATGTGTTACAGTTCATGGTGTTTTAGAATCTGTGTAACATAGTGTATACAGCCTAGACCTTCTTCCTGAATTCTTTTGTATATCCACCTGCCTGCTCAATATCCAGTAGTTCTACTTGAATATCTAATAAGAATTTCAAAAATAGTCTGTCCAAAAGTGAGTTCCATCCCCTGTCTCCCTCCCACCCACCATTCCTGTTAGTGGCAACTCCATCCTTCCATTTCCTCAGTCCAGACACCTTGGAGATACCATCAACTCATCTTTCTCTCATAAGGTACATTGGATCTGTCAGTATATCGTGTAGGCCTTACCTTTAAAATCCATTAGGAATCCATCTACTTATCACCTTCACTGCTACCCCCCTCATCCCTCTTCATAGATTATGGAATAGCCTTCTGTTGTCTGTCTGGTTCTAACATAGGAGCCAGAGTGATCCTATTACCCCTCTGTTCAAAAACTCCAGTGCTTTCCATCACTCAGTAAAAGCCAGTCTTTTCTATGACCTACCAGGCCTCACATGATCTGGTCTTCCTTTACCTGTCTCCAACTTCTTTTACTCTTTTTCCACCTCATTCATTCCAGATTTCACCTCCATGAACATGTCAGGCATACTCCCATATTAGGGCCTTTGCACTTATTCTTTCGTTTTCCTAGAATGTTTTTCTCCTCATATATCCTAATATATCTACAAGGCACACTCAAACCCTACTTTCAGGTCTTAAATCAAATGTAACCTTCTCAAGGAGGCCTTTTCAGGCTACCCTGTCTAAAATTTTACACATACCTGTCCCACTCCCTTTCCTTGCTCTATTTATTCAACTCAGTATCTAAATACTTTGTATTTTGGTTGTTTATCTTATTGATTATCTGGCTTTTCTCCTTGAATAGAATAGAGATTTTTGTTTTGATTGCTACTGCTTCCCTCCCAACTAGAATAATACCTGGAACTTAGTAGGTGTTCATTAAAATACTTAGTTGTATGACTGATCTCTTTACTTTCTCTGCATCTTTATCCTTTTTTCCTTTGAAATTCCACCTGTCTTTCAAAGCCTAGTTGAAATGCCATCATCCAGAAGTTTTTTAGAGTGTTCCAACAGGAAGTCATTTCTACATATGTGTTCTTGCTTCATTTTATATCTCTTTTAGAGAACATTTCATATTTAGCCTTACAGTTAATTTTTCCTTTATAAAGTCACAGTACTTAACTAAATGAAGAGTGTGTATAGCATAGCTGCTTTATATAATAGCTCTTCTACTAAATTTTTTAAGCATTCTGTTTAGCAATACTTGCTTTACAAAGAATTTCAAAATAGACATTACAAATTGGCTGACTGTAGGCAGTCCACAGTCAAGTTTGTTTGATCCACAAAGTGTTGGTCTGCACTATACTCTAAATTTTTTAGGTGCAAACACTCAAAAACTAGAAATTTTTACATAAAAATCTCAAATTTCAGTTTCCCTAGGAAACAGTGGTGTATCTGCCAGTGTCAGCCTTGCATCTTCACATAACAACAGTCAGCTAAAGTTGAGTAGTAATGATAATCTTAGATGTGAGACATACTCTTTAACACAATCCCTGTCACTCTTTATTGCTATTTCCAACACTACGGGTCTGATGATAGTTGCCATTTATTATCTGTCATATTTAATTCCTTTATGTTACCTTCACTGTCCCTGAAGTTATTTTAGATTGTAACCCCTGCTTTAAAAGGATATATTTATTCCTTTAAGATGATGTTTAGGTGAATAAGCTATTTCATGAATAGCTGTATGAAGCTTAACTTGATTTCACTGAAGTGCTGACACTCCTTTACTAATTTAATACTGGGCAGAACATTGAATAACATAGTCTGAAAATTTTTTAAATTTGTTGTGTAGATGCTCCTCCTCCTACTTGGGAACAGCTAGAAAATGGGCTGGTTGCTGTGCGTACAGTGGTACACGGGTTGGTTGATTATATCCAGAATCACAGCAAAAAAGGAGCAGATCAACAGCAGGTAAAGGAGATATTTGAAACTTAGAAGTAAGCCACTGTGTCTATCCTTACAGATAAAAACAAAGCCAACAGGATGACATGAATATTTTTAGACTCTGTAAAAACTAGAAATTAAACTAAAATAAAAACCTATTTTTAACTCCCTGTTCCATTAGACATCATGAGGAATGTAACAAAAATTATAAGATTTATAGTTTAGAATGGTTAGCAGCCAGTTTATTGGATTAGCCTAGTAATTTTATCTGACAACATTGAAATTAAATAATCCTTGTTGGTCTAATGTGCTGGAGTCAGTTTTCACATTGGATATAGCAGCATTTGATTCTTGCTAAAGGTTATTCCATTTATATAAAATTATTCTCTTTGGTTACTCTTGCATTTCAGTTTGACAGTAGATATCACTTTTTAGTGCTAATGCTGTATCTCTCCAGTACTGTTCACATATTTTGTAAATGCTTTTTCTGCATTAGCATTCAGATATTTTTCATTCATAATGTCTGTTATGACAGTGGGCCAAATTTTCCTCAAGTATTTTTAGATGAAATATATGGCAATAAAAATATAATAGCCTGTGTTACGGCTAGAGTTTTTAATTTTACTCCCAATTATTTCATTTTGCCCTCAGAATTTATGTTAGGTTCAGTACATCTTTTATTTTGTAGTAGTAAGCTTGAGAAATTAAAACTTTGTTATTAATTTATCTGGCTCAGTAAATATTAACATTAGGTTATTCAGTATTCCTTTTTACTTTAAAAGAAATATTAAAAGTGTTCTAGTAGAATAATATGGATATGCTCTTCCCAATCTAAGCACAGATCAGGGCTTTATTTTATGATTAAGAAATTTAGAAAATTAAAAACTTACTTTTAACTCCCTGTTCCATTAGACATCATGAAGAATGCTACAAAAATAATATTAACTTTTAAGTTCTGCCTCTTGTAGATTTGTAGTGTGTTATAAGGAAACATAATTGTAAGTGTAGCTATATTGAACATTGTCCACAACAAATATTAGGAGACAGTTTAAATATTTGAAAGTCCTAATCTCCAGTGGTGTGCTTGTCCACTGTAAAACGTTGGAAAGAAGATCATAGAGCTCTCCTGAGATTGAATCAAGAATGTATATGATGTTACATGTTTGATAGTTAATATCAGCATATCAGAAAAATCAGGACTACTTTTTTTTTTAAAGTAATTTATTTTGCACACTTTCCAGGACTTTTGTCTGGGCAGTCTAGATAAGTGTATGAGTTAGTCTGAATTATTCATCTAGATTATTAAGATCCTAAAATGGCAATGCAAGATTTACATTTTTTTTTAATGGCTAATGTTTTAATTTTGGTCGTAGCCTCCACAGCATAGCAAATATAAAACATACATGTGTCGAGACATGAAGCAGAGAGGAGGATGCCCTCGTGGGGCCAGCTGTACATTTGCACACTCACAGGAGGAACTGGAAAAGTAAGTGTGAAAGTCATCAGCCTCAACCTTCCAGTAATTTGTTAGAGAATAAGATAGAATTATTAAGTAGAATAATTTGCTGCCATTGAGAAATATGAAAAGATGTAGTCGCATTCCCTTTGATGAATAGGAAATGTATAGAAAGCAATACAGAATTTTAGAAAAGAAAACCAAAGCAGTTTCTTCACCTTTCATTACATTGTGTAGGAAGCTACTTGTGGTTAACTGAATCTAAAAGTGAGTCATTTTTGCTATCCCTCCCACCCCCCCAATTAAAAGTCTAAGAATTTTCATCAACTTTAACTGATTGATTTTAACTAATTGAATAATGCATTTCCAATGGAAAAATTTGCCCTTTGCTCTATTCAAGAAATTATTTATTGCCTGGCTCATTTTCACAGATTATTTCAAGGACCAGATAATTTCAGTGATGTTAGATTGCCAGCACATAGTAGAAAGAAAGGAAAAGCTTCTTAATTGTTTTATAAAACCAGTATAACGCTGACAGTAAATCTGACAAAGCACAATTAAAGAAAACTACAAATTCATCTCACACATTTAAATCTCACACATTTAAAATCCCAAATATTAAAACTTAGAATTCAGTAATACATTAAAACAGACACCATTACTAAGTGCAAAGGTAGCATAATATAATTACTCTGGGTTAGAGAAGAATGGGTATGATAACCACGTGATCATATCAGAAGATGCCAAAAGACATTTGAATAATATCCAATGTCCGTGATAGATCAAGATCCCTTAGTAGAACAAAAACATCATAGATGTTTTCCCAACATGATAATTATATCTCAAATCAAAAGCCAGCATGATAGCATGATGCTTAATTGGTATTAGTTTATTAGATTCAGTCTTGTTACAGACAAGAGTAAGGGAAAATTTTCTACTAGTAAAAAATGTTATTTAACATTCTGGAAGTTGTAGCTAATGTATGTAAACAAGAGAATAAAATAGCCAAAATCATTAAATGGGAAAACTCAAGAGAAATACTAGAAACAAAAGAAACAAGAATTTAGTAAGGTAGCAAATCAAAAAATTAGTTTACAAAAATGAAGTACTCTCATATAAACTAGAAAGGGAAACATAACCAGTTAAAAAGTAAGGTGACATTAAAATCCCTTTTGCGTTAACAACAAAAACAAAAAAGATAAACACCAAATAATAAGCTAATAAGAAATATCCAGGATCTCTTGAATTGAATTAGTAAACTACATAGGAACATAAGAGAAGAGTTGAATAAATGAAGAAGGATACTGTGTTCTTGGATAAGACTTGGCATTATAAAAGTTTTATTTCCTCTTAAACAGTAAGTTCAGTGAAATCCCAATTAGCATCTTAACGTGATGATTTTGGGAACCTAACAAAATCATTTATTTGGGAGAAAAAATATGCCAATAGTCAGGAAAATTTTTGGAAAAAAAGGTCTTCAACAGGGACTAGACTAATAACTATTAACCTGTTTTATGAGCTAAAGTTAAGTATGAAGACTGTGGTATTAGCATAGGAATAGATAGACCAATGAAATACAATAGAAAATCTAGAAAGAGTTCCAGATACATATAGGAACTCAGCATATGTGCAAAAGGTGGCATTTCACATCAATAACAAAAAAACATGATGATGAAACAACTATCCATTTGAAAAATAGGGCTGGATTATTACCTTTACACCAAAACAAATTATAAACTTATCAGAGATTTAAATATTTAAAAAGGAAACTATAGAGTACTTAGAAATATTTGTGGTTGTTATATAATCTTACAGTAGGAAGGATTTTTTAAAAATGACACCTAGCATCTATAAAGGAGATCAATAAATATGATTACGTGAAAATGAAAAACTAAGATAATGGCCCAAACACCACAAACTTAAAAAAAAAAAAAGTGGGGAAATGACATAGAAAAGGCTGATATCCATAACATAAAATGAGCTCCTACAAATCTGTAAGAAAAAGAAGAACCAGTAGATATATGTATCATGTAAATAAGCAATTCACAGAAAAAACACTAATGGCCAGCAAACATGTGAAACTGTGTTCAATATCATGAATTGTTAAAGAAATATAAAGTAAAATAAAACTTGATATTTTTGAACTGTCAAATTGTCAAAGACTGAGGCTAGCCAGTGTTTAATGAGATATTGAAAAAAGCCTTTTTTTGTTAATCGGTAGTACTTATAATAGCTTTGGAGCATTATAAGAGTTTCTAACGTGCATATATTAGACTTAATAATTCTGCTTTTGGTTATTCACACAAGTGCAAAGTACATGTACATAATTTTCTGTTATTGCATTGTTTTAATAGCAAAAAATTAGGGACAACCTAAAATGTACTGACATAAAGAAATATTTAAGATTATGAAGTAGAGGAAAATATTTACTATGCAGCCATATATGACCCTATTTCTGTAATTTATAATCTTACAAATGTAAGAATATTAAGCCAGTGTATGGAGTGGAAAAATGTGTATTATATACCAAGCTGTTAACAGTGGTTACACCTGATGGGTGGTCTGCCCCCCGCCCACTACCCCAAAGTGTGTGTGTGTGTGTATACACATACACAGGTTTTCAAGTTGATAGCTAGAGCCAATGTTTCAAGAGAATTTCTAGAAAATGATGTGCTTGGAATCCTTTCCTTTTGTATCCCTTTCTTAAATACATTTTAGTTCTAGATTTTTAAAAGCTTTTCCTTTTACAGTTTTGGTTTTTGGTGTGTGCCTTTGCTTTTTATATAGGTTTCGTAAAATGAACAAACGCCTGGTTCCCAGAAGACCCCTGAGTGCCTCTTTGGGTCAACTTAATGAGGTGGGCCTGCCTTCAACAGCTATCCTTCCAGATGAAGGTGCAGTGGATCTACCTAGCAGAAAAACCCCTGCTCTGCCAAATGGAATTGTATCTTCAGGGAATACAGTAACACAGCTGATTCCACGAGGGACAGACCCCAGCTACGATTCTAGTCTGAAACCAGGAAAGATAGATCATCTGAGCAGTAGTGCCCCTGGATCCCCTCCTGACCTGTACGTTGTTTTTCCTAACTTTTATTTAAAGTTTCTTTATAGACATAAAGTAGAAGGAAGAAAGAATAATCAGTGCTTTGTTTGGGGGGCTTATTTTGTTGTTTTTTATTTCTCTTTCCTGTGCCAGTGATTTTTGAGAAACAATTAACATAGGTGACATAAGATCAAAGTTTGCAAATTTTGTAGAAGAAATGGCTATTGGAAAAAACCAGTTTCCCAAATCGTGGCCATTTTTTTTACATTTAACGATTTGTGTACATTAGAAGTATTTTCAAGACCTTAAACTTGACTTGCAGAATCTTGCTCCCATAGGCTAGAATCTGTCCCTAAGAGTATTTCTGCCTTGCCTGTTAATCCACATCCTGTACCTCCAAGAGGGCCAACAGACCTGCCCCCTATGCCTGTCACCAAATCACTTCAGATGGTACCACGAGGTTCTCAGTTATATCCAGCACAACAGGCAGATGTTTATTACCAGGATCCTCGAGGAGCTGCTCCACCATTTGAACCAGCACCTTATCAGCAGGGTAACGATCTTTCATTTATGTCACTCACTTTTCTTAGAAGTTATGAGAATGGTTTCAAGAGTGATCATATTTTCAGTAATCTCAAAATAAATAAATGCTTTTTTTAATACTTGGAAAAAACCGAGGTTATATGACCAACTAAATAGTATGAAATAAATGAAGTAGCAAAGCTATGAAAAGTAATTCGCCCTGACTACTAAAAGCAGTTGTATATTAAATATGCTTACATATTTATAGAAGTAAGTCATCCAAGTGCAATGGAAATTTGCTGAGGCTGTATATATTTTCCTGACCAAAATTTTCTTCAAGTATGAAAAAAGAATTTAATATTACAGTGGATATAAATTAAACACAGTACATTTTTTTGCTTTCAGTTGTCTCCTAATATTTTTTCTAGGCCCTGTGATATATATGAAAAAATGCAAATACATACTTATAGAGAGTTTATAGTATAGCATCAGTATTAGTAAAGAATAGAAAACTATATGTGTGAGAGTATATATATCTATCTATGTGTTTAAAATGAAGTGTTCAGTTGTGGTAGTTAATATTAGTGTGGTAGGAATTAACTGCAGGACTCAAGGAAGATCATTGAGAACTTCAGGGATCAAAAGAGTTTGTGGAAGGATGCCCTAAATAGAGGTATTGGGAATAGAAAGGAAAATTTACAAATGGATTGTAAAGATGAGAGTCTAGAGTCAAGGAGGAGTAAGGTGTGACTGTTGAGGTCTGGATTAGTGTGATGGGAAAAAAGAAAGTATTTGAGAAAATAGACAAATGTGGAAAGTTAGCCAGTTTTAATGATAATATACCAGGTATGGAGAATGAAGGAGAGGACTTGATTGAGGTTTCACATAATGTAGTTCATGTGAAAAAATAAGCAACGATTTTTAAACTAAAGTGTTGACTCTCTTTGTCAGAAACAGTATAGTGCTATTGGTTTTTTTTGTTTGTTTGTTTTTGCGGTACGAGGGCCTCTCACTGTTGTGGCCTCTCCCGTTGCGGAGCACAGGCTCCGGACGCACAGACCCAGCGGCCATGGCTCACGGGCCCAGCCACTCCATGGCATGTGGGATCTTCCCGGACCGGGGCACGAACCCGTGTACCCTGCATCGGCAGGAGGACTCTCAACCACTGTGCCACCAGGGAAGCCCCTCTATTGTTTTTTAAACTGGGATAGATTCAAGGTGTTCTCCATTTCCTTTTCCCAAGGCTATATTAATTTTGAATCAGCAATGTCTTTTCTGATTTCAAAAAAAGTAGTTTTAAGTTGGCATGGTATCATTAATACATATAAGAATATGATAAAAGTTGATCTGGGCTTCCCTGGTGGCGCAGTGGTTGAGAGTCCGCCTGCCGATGCAGGGGACGCGGGTTCGTGCTTCGGTCCGGGAGGGTCCCACGTGCCGCGGAGCGGCTGGGCCCGTGAGCCATGGCCGCTGGGCCTGCGCGTCCGGAGCTTGTGCTCTGCAGCGGGAGAGGCCACAGCAGTGAGAGGCCTGCATACCGCAAAAAAAAAAAAAAGTTGATCTGTCTTCCTTTTGACCATTCATTGCAGGAAAAGCCCAGCTGCTTTTGTTGAGTTAACCTTAAATATGCTGAATCAGTAAGGGTTCAATTGTAGATAACAGAAATCATTCTGGCTATATTATCAGATAGAGGTTTAATAGAGAGAGTCCTACAAAATCAGTAGAAGCATTGGAAAAGCAGACTTAAGCTAGGCCTCCAGGAATGAGTCCCAGAGCTAGTTGCTGAAAGAACCTGTTACAATGAAGCTGTAGAAATAGGAAACTTCTGCCCTAATCGCCAACTTGAGGAGCTCATCAGTTAAGGCAAACGTCTTCAAATTGGGAAGCTACTGCCACGACTGTTGTTTCAAGAACTCCAGGGGACTTCCCTGGCGGACCAGTGGTTAAGACTCTGCACTTCCACTGCAGAGGGCACGGGTTCAATCCCTGGTGGGGAACTAAGATCCCACATACCACACGGCACAGCCAAAAAACGAAGAACTCTAGAGCTGTGCAGTTAGCTACTAGATCTGTACCAGCAGAATGGATCTCTTTCCAGTTAACTCAATTTGACATTCAAAACTTATGCAAATGAGTGATTTGTAGAACCTAAGCTTCAGGGAAATATAGTTTTTTTTGCTTTTCAGTGTTTGCAGTATGTTAAGGCACACCAGAAAGATGGTCAAACAATTGAGAGAGCCAATTTACTGTTGTAGACTATAAGTAGATTGGTGTTTTCAGTAACTTTTAAGGATAATTTTTGCTTGTTATTTTTTGCAAAGCTAGCCTGACTACATAAGCAGAGGGAAAAACATCTAAAGAAAGGAGTGGATTTTTAATTCTTTAGTGTTGAAATATTTTAAAAGGAAAAGTCTTAAATAGAAAAATAGATTGGCTCATTGTTGCTTTTGGTTCCTCTTTTGTATTGTACAGGTATGTACTATCCTCCACCACCACAATGTGTGTCCCGCTTTGTCCGACCTCCACCATCTGCTCCTGAACCTGGTCCTCCCTACTTGGATCATTATCCACCGTACCTCCAAGATCGTGTAGTAAACTCTCAATATGGCACACAGCCACAACAGTACCCACCTATGTACCCACCACACTATGATGGCCGTCGAGTATACCCTGCTCAGTCTTATACAAGAGAGGAGATTTTCCGAGAAAGTCCTATACCCATTGAGATTCCACCTGCAGCAGTACCATCCTATGTACCAGAATCCAGAGAAAGATACCAACAGATGGAGGGTTACTATCCAGTGGCTCCCCACCCAACTCAGATCAGACCTTCGTACAACAGAGTATGCTGGCTTTTTGCGGTTTTTTCTTATTATATAGATTTACTTGATTATTGCTTGCCGTGATTTTTTTTTTAACCTTTGCCATGATAATAACTCTTTGATCAATCAGTTCTTTTTTAAAAGAAGCATCTTCTCTTTTTTCACCTTTTCATAATCTGCATAGGTTGTTTTTCTTTTAACTTTTAAAGGGGAAAAAAATTAATACCCCACCCCTGCTAACCCATCTTAGTTTCTGAACATTAGGTGGTTTTATTAACATTTCTAGATTTATTTAGAAATTATGGTCTCTGACCAAGAAAAAGAAACTTAAATTTAGCTCTTTGGGAAATCCTGAGAGCTTTTGGGGGTTTTGTTTGTTTTGTTTTGCTTTGTTTTATTAAGTCTTGCTATTTCGGATGTTAAGATGAGTATAAAATCTGCTTATTTAAAATATGTGCTAAGTGAATCAATGTGTTCTGAAATTCTTTTTCAATTTTTACTCATTTTTGCATTTTCAGGAGCCTCCTTACAGCCGGCTTCCTCCCCCTCCCCAGCCCCATCCTAGTCTAGATGAGTTACATCGAAGACGAAAGGAAATAATGGCACAACTAGAGGAAAGGAAGGTTATCTCTCCACCTCCTTTTGCACCTTCACCAACATTGCCTCCTGCCTTCCAACAAGAGGAAGTAAGCACATCTTTTTTAGTCTCTTTATCAGTTTTTCCTTAATCGGTGATTTATTGTGTCCTATTTAAGTCATCTTCACCTATTCCCAAGGTCATGAGGGTATTTTCCTCTAAAAGGTTTATTATTTCACATTTCGATCTACAGTCCATCTAGAATTGATTTTTGTATATAGTGTCTTAGGAGTTAAGATCCATTTTTTCCCTAAAGGATATCTCATTGATCAAGCATCATTTAATGAAAAGACCATTCTTTCCCCAGTACCCTGCAGTCACCTTTATCATAATCTGGTCACCTTTGTCATAGTCAGGTGACTATATGTTTCTGAACTCTATTCTGTTTCATTGATCTATTTCTCTATCCTTGTACCAACACCACATTGTCTTAATGTAGTAGTATTGTACATCTTAATGTGGTGGTGTATGTTTTCCAGTTTTGGTCTTCAGGATTATCTTTGCTGTTCCTGGTCCTTGGAAATTCCAGGCACATTTTAGAATCAGCATGTGGATGTCCACAGAAATATCTGCTGCAGTTTTTTTTTTTTTTTTGCGTTACGTGGGCCTCTCACTGTTGTGGCCTCTCCCGTTGTGGAGCACAGGCTCCGGATGCACAGGCCCAGTGGCCATGGCTCACAGGCCCAGCCACTACGCGGCACGTGGGATCCTCCCGAACCGGGACATGAATCCATGTCCCCTGCACCGGCAGGCGGACTCTCAACCACTGCGCCACCAGGGAAGCCCTCTGCTGCAGTTTTTATTAGGATTACATTGAATCTCTGGATCTGGGCAGCCCAGTATGGTAACCACTAGCCACATGTGGATAATGATGCTTAAAATGTGGCTAGTTCAAATTCATGTGTGCTGTAAGCATAAAACATACATTGGATCTGAAGGTTTAGTCCCCCCCCCCAAATATCAATATATTTATGTTAATTACATGTTAAAATACTACTTTGGGTATATTAGATTAAATAAAATGTATTGTTAAAATTAATTTTACCTGTTTCTTTTTATTTTTTAATATGGCTACTAAAATGTTTTAGATTACATATGTGGGTCAATTATATTTTCATTGGACAGTGTTGCTTTAGATCCATTTGAGGAGAAGTGACATCTTTCCAATATTGAGTCTCCAAGAACATGGTATACCCTCCACTTCCTTGGATCTTCTTTAATTTTTGTCAATAATGTCATATCTCATATAGTTTTCAGTGTCTTGCACATCTTTCATTAAACTTATTCCTAGAAAACTAATGTTTTTGAAGCTATTTAAATGGAATCCTTTTTGAAATTTCATTTTCTATTTGTTAATATTATAGAGAAATTAAGTAGATTTTTGCGTATTTTGACACCTGTGTTTAGCAGCCTTGGTAAATTTCCCTATTAATTCTAGTATTTGTCAGTGGATTCTTTTGGATTTTCTGTGCACACAGTCATGTCCTTTGTGAATAATGACGATTTTACTTTCTCCTTTTCAATTCTTAAGTCTTTTTTTTTTTTTTATCTTGGTTGTGTGAGCTAGATCCTCCAGTATAAAATAAAAGTGATGATAGGTTCTCTTATTTCCAGTCTTTGAGCAAATGGAGCTTCTAATAATTTACCATTGTGATGTTTGCTGTCAACCTTTTTGTAGGTAATCTTTATCAGATGAATGAAATTTCCCTATATTCCTAGTTTTTATAATTGAGACTGTCAAAGGTTTATTTAACTCAGTAGTGAGGAAAACAGCAGGATGATAAAGTTGATTCAAAGAGTAGGAGAGACAGGCTAATATAGGTAGTGAAAGGCAGGGAAAAAAACACTGAAATAGAGTTGCTAGAATAAACTGGTTAGTATACTAGAGGGTAATAAACCATAATTTGAGGGTTATCAGTATTTCCACAAGGCAGTACTAACAGTTATCATGAATGAGTGTTGTCTTATTGTCTTTTTAATGTCTTCAGGGTCTATAGTGACCCCAAAGACATTTTTCCACTTCTGAAAATTTTTTTCCTTGGTCAGTCTTGCTAGGGATTTTTAATCAGTTTTATCTTTTCAGAAAGCCAGCCTTTTGCTTTGTTGATCTTATTTATTTAATTATTTTGGTTTGTTGATTTTACATAACTGCCTCAGCTCAGTGTGTGTGTGTGTGTGTGTGTGTGTATACATATACATATATTTTTATGTCAAGTAGGTTTTTTCAGTAGGGTTGCAGTTGATATTATGTAAGGAAAATGTCTTACATCCTTTATGTGTAGAATTATGATTCTAAACAATATTTCTAGCTGATAAATTATGAATAATAAGCAATGAAAATTGAAATATATCACATTGCATATAATAAACAGTAAACTTTGGGGTCTACAAAAGTAATCTACTAAATAAAGATTGTTCATAGTATCTGGCTTTCCTCTCTAAACACTTTGGATGAATTGTCCACAATAATCTAGGTTAATTAGTAAAGCTGTAACATCTTCTGTTAACATAATTTCATGTGATATTTTTTCAAAAACTTTAATTAGAGACATCCCAGAGCCTTGTTATGCCATACCATTTTTTGAGAAATATGGAAAGCAGTATGACACTGTGAAAAGTGAGCTAATTTTGGAATGAAATATAATTATCTGTGAGGTTCATCTTTGTGGCTCAGTGTGTGATCTTTTGTAAGTTATTTAGCCTTCATTAACCCTGAGGCTCAGGTTTCTCTATTTGTAAATCAAGCATAATAAAACCTACCTCACAGTGGTGTGGTGAAGATTAAATGAGACATAAGGCATCTGGCACAAAGCAGGCATTCAGTAAATAATAACGGTGTGTATTTATTACTTTTTTACTTGTAATAAAAATTATAATAATGCCTGGCTGTTACGGAACTTTATCTATTGACAGAATTATTTTAGTTACTGACATACAAAGCTATATAATTAAACTTCAGTTCTGATTATAAACAACCTATGTATAATTATACTAAATTCATACATTATAAAAATACATAATATAGAAAGAAATTTCTCCAAAATCTCATTTTCTATATCACTGTAAGTTTATTATATATTTTAACTTTTTATATATATTTCAACTTTTCAGTGCATGAAACACATAATTATAATTTTTAATCAGATCATTTAGTAATAATATATTCAGATTTTACGTTTTATATTTTTTTTGGTTTTGTTTTTACTTAACCAGTTATCCTGGATGTCTTTCTGTATCAGTATATAAATTTATCTCATTCTTTTTTTTCTTAATAAATTTATTTATTTATTTATATTTTACTTTTGGCTGCGTTATGTCTTTGTTGCTGCACAGGGGGTTTCTCTAGTTGCAGCAAGCGGGGGCTACTCTTCATTGCACGGCGCGGGCTTCTCATCACAGTGGCTTATCTTGTTGCGGAGCACGGGCTCTAGGCGCGTGGGCTTCAGTAGTTGTAGCTTGCAGGCTTAGTTGCTCTGCGGCATGTGGGATCTTCCCGGACCAGGGCTCAAACCCATGTCCCCTGCATTGGCAGTCTGATTCTTAAGCACTGCACCACCAGGGAAGTCCTATCTCATTCTTTTTTAAATTGCTGTATAATACATTGATTGCAGGGGAAAAAGCACTCTTGTTAGTAGGTCATGTCTTTAAAAAGCTAGCTGTTCTACACAAAATTTGTAAGCAGAGGAGAAATGTGAAAAGGAGCTGGAATTTTTAAAATAGAAGTAGGACCAAAAAAAGGAAAGCGGTTATAAACAATGGAAACAGGAGTTGTGGTTGAAAATGAGTGGTACTGTGAACAGCATATCCCTCTGCCAGTGCAGAAGACCAAAGTGATGACTCAGAAAATAGAAGGTTTTTTTAGTATAGGCGGAAGCATAGAGCCATTTAAATGTACCAGTACTCCCTGAATTATTAGTATGTCAGTATATACATCTGTGATAAAGTGAGAGCAATTTATTAGTGTTCTAGCACTCCCTATACTGGTATAACCTTGGTCCGATCACCCACGTTGTCTCATGGACTTGAAGAACATATGAGATAGTGTATGCATAAAAGTACTTAGAGAACTGTAAAACATTACACAAATGTGAATGTAAGTAAAAATGCATTAGACCTAGAATGCCTGTTTAGTTGTTACATAATTTCAGAGCGCATCCTGAGAAAAGAAAATTAGGAATCTTATCCTTTTCACTTCATTGACTCAACCCTAAGGACCAGAATTTATTCAAGATATGAATTATTGCTATTAAAGAGATTTAGGTTGAAAAGTTATTACATCATCATGTACTATATAGAACATTTAAGATTACATTTTAGGACCAGAATTTATTCAAGATATGAATTATTGCTATTAAAGAGATTTAGGTAAAAATGTTATTATGTCATCACATACTATATAGAACATTTAAGATTACATTTTAAAGAATTTCTAGTGCCCTTGTTTACCTGGAATGTTATTGAAAGAAACATTAAGGAGGGTCTAGCAAAACTAGGGCCTAATACATACTTGCTTAAGTGTTAACTGAATCTGATGAGAAAGATGGGCAACTCTCTTCAAAAATCCTAATTTGATTCTTTGAAGGATATTGAGATACTTCTTTTTGACCCTCTGTTAACAAAGTGTAAAGGCTGAATATCATTTTTCATTTGTTTTATATTTTTCATAGTCTACAAAAATCTTCTAGTGACACAAATAACTGTTACTATGTTGCTTCAGCATGATGTTCTAAAGAAATTCCATGCTCTCTCTGTGCTGTTACTCATAGACCCATTTCCTATTTTGTTTCTTTTTTCCTTTTTCCATCTGCAGTTTTTGGATGAAGACTTGAAGGTAGCTGGGAAATACAAAGGAAATGATTATAGCCAGTACTCACCCTGGTCATGTGACACCATCGGCTCCTACATTGGAACCAAAGATGCAAAACCCAAAGATGTTGTGGCAGCAGGGAGTGTGGAAATGATGGTATGTATAATAACTAAGCCATAATTAATACAAATCAAGATAAACCAAATAAATTATCCCCAGTTATAGTGTAGACACAAGTAACTGAGCTTTGCTTAAGTTTCATACCATATTCTGTACTATGTGATTGAATTATATTTAAACTATATGTTTTTTTATTTCTTTCAGGTATATATAAAAATCTTTTCAAACTTGTCTAGACAAAGAAGAGCGTTTCTTGTGTTTCTGTGAAGCTAGCAATTAACCCAACAGCTGTTTAGAATTGAAAGTAAATTATTTTGCATAACTAAGATCTTGAATTTCTTGTCCAAATAAATTATAACTCTTTTACAACTCTTAAGTTTAAACAGTAAAGTTGAATCTAGTGAACAATACTAGTGTTCGAGTCAGAATTATAATTACTTAGCTTCAGATGAGCTGTGGTATACTGAAATGTATTACACTTATGCCATTTTATTTTTTAACAAAAAATAATGTAACACCAGTGTATCTAATACTCAAGCTTAAAATATATCACTATTTTACCTTAATTGCTTCTTTATCCTTTAAAGAAATAAAACTTTACATAAGTAATTAAATCCTCCTCTCTTTACCTCCCTAATCTCATTTTTCTCCCTCCCTCCTTCCCTGGAGATGACCTCTATCCTGAATTGAGAGTTTATCATTTCATGAATAATTTTATACTACTTCTAAACAATTTTGTTTTGAATGTTTATAGACCTTATACATATTATAAACCTCAACTTGCATTTTCATTCAGCATTGTTTTTGAGATGTATCCAAATTTATACCTATAGTTCAAATTCATTCATTTTCACTGCTTTTATCAGGTACCATTGTATGATAACTGATATCATACAATAAATAAATATATATATAATTGTTTATTGATTTTCATGTTGATGAACATTTAGGCTGTTTTTAATTTTTTTATTATTATGTACAGTGCTACAGTAAACATTCTTGCATATGTTTCCTTGTGCACATTGCATGAAAGTTATGCTTAGGAATAGTATTGGTGGGTTAAAGGTATGCCTTGACTATTATTCTTTTTTTTTTTTTTTGATTATTATTCATTTGCCCTTGTTAATTCTAACAGAGGTTCCCTAGGTTGTTATATAGATTTTCAAAGACAAAGATTTGCCCAGCTGGTTGAGAGAAGACCAATTCTTGGTAATAGAAAAGGAAGACTTAGATGAGTGAAGTGATATCTATAGCATAATGATTAGATGCCAGACAATTAAAAAAAAGAAAGAGAAAAAAAGGAATATAGAGGAGAAAAAAGTGAAAATGAACCTTTTGTTTTTCTGTGGTAGGATTAAGGAAACATTGTTTTTAGGCCATAAAAAAGTCTTTCTGAGAGAATAGGAATGAGATGAGGAGGTAGAGGTAGATAGGAACCTTTGCTTTGTACCTGACTTTCAGAAAGAGTTATTATAATAAAGAAACATAAACATTAGCAAAATAAAACTCATTTACTTAAATTAACAAAGAATAAAAGTGTTTTCCAGCCTAACCTAGATGTAATCGAACATTTCCTAAATGGATAAAAGTCTACCCCAGTGTTTCTCAAACATGAATGTGCATGTAAATTACCTGGGGAATCTGTTAAAATTCAAGTTCTAATTCAGTAAGGCTGGGATGAGACCTGAAATTCTGCATTTCTAATGAGTTCTCTAGTGATGCTGATGCTGCTGGTCTGTGGACTATTCTTTGAGTAGCAAGGGTCTAGCAATTAGATTTCCATTTATCTTTCTGACTGGAATGCCTTTTAAAAGCCTATGTTGGCACTTATATTTTTAAACAGTATTTTTCTAACTATTGATTGTTGAAAATTAATTTATTGGTCATGATGGGCCTTTTTTTAAAGAAATGAATTAGAATAAATACAAGAGTACATTACATATAGTAAGGATAAATGTTTGTCATGAAAATATATATACATATATACATTCAAATATATATATTTGAATGTATATATGTACTGGATCATGATGTAAAAAATATTATAGGAAGTGGTCAGAGGTTTGAAAAGCAATTTTGTTTGTTTGTTTGTTTGTTTTTCTTGCGTTATGCGGGCCTCTCACTGTTGTGGCCTCTCCCATTTGCGGAGCACAGGCTCCGGACGCGCAGGCTCAATGGCCATGGCTCAGGGGCCCAGCCGCTCCGCGGCATGTGGGATCTCCCCGAAACAGGGCACGAACCCGCGTCTCCTGCATCGGCAGGCGGACTCTCAAGCACTGTGCCACCAGGGAAGCCCAAAAAGCAATGTTTTATATGACAACTAAAGGCAACTAATGATTTTAGTCTTATCAGTAAGAACATTATACTCTGTTTTAACCTTATTACAGAGCTAGAGGAAATTATGTTAGAGATCTAAGTGTGGGGTGGATTTCTCATTTTACTTTTTACCTTCTCATTTTACTTTTTACCAGAATGTGGAGAGTAAAGGAATGAGAGACCAGCGATTGGACCTTCAGAGAAGAGCAGCAGAAACCAGTGATGATGACCTCATCCCATTTGGAGACCGACCAACAGTATCTCGATTTGGTGCCATTTCTCGAACTTCCAAAACAATATATCAGGGTGCTGGCCCAATGCAGGCTATGGCACCTCAGGGAGCTCCCACAAAATCTATTAACATTTCAGGTAAGAATCTCAGAGGTAAGCTGATTTGGAGTGTTCATAGTCACAACTCCCAGCACCACCTACTCCCCATTTACCGTCAGTGCTTTTCATAATCTTGCAGGGCAGTAGTCTTCAAACTTTTCTGTGGAGTTATCCCTGTAGAAAGGTAATTATAACCCAGGGAATTGTAGGGGTACAAACTAAAATTAAATATCTGTATGTGAAGGTAACCTATGTGTTATTTTTTATAGTTTCGTTGCTTTTGTTAAAATAATACATCTCATTTTTTAAAAAAAAATCAAACAAAAGAAAAAATTACAAAGATTGACTTTTTAATGGGGGAAAAACAAACATCAATACCCCTCCATCTTTCAAGATAACTGTGTACATAATATGCCTATGCCTTTTAGATTATGGCTACCTAAAAAGAAGAATCAAATCTGTGAATTGCATGATTCCACTGTAAATTACTCTCTTACAGATTATGGTCCGTATGGAGCCCACAGTGGCTGGGGAGGTTCTCCATATTCACCTCATCAAAACATACCTTCTCAGGGACACTTCAGTGAGAGGTATAAGTCATTCTTTTTACTTTTACAAGCCTTTAAAATTACTCAACTTACTTTGTTTTTCTGGTCATAACATTTTTTTAAAATAAAATTTTAAATTTATTCCATACTTTCTTTCCCACAAAAGGGAGAGAATATCTATGTCAGAAGTGGCCAGTCATGGAAAACCCCTTCCATCTGCTGAGAGGGAACAGCTACGACTAGAATTGCAGCAATTAAACCAACAAATTAGCCAACAGACCCAGCTACGTGGACTAGAGGTACCAGCCTAGAGATATTTTTTCATTCCAGTTTTTGAAGAGTTCTCATAAAGATTTTAAAAGGAGGAACTTTTGAGGTAAAATGAACATAAAACTTTAAGGTTTGTTTCCTAAGAGTTAGTATAGTTGTCCATTTTTCAAAGAATTTAAGTACTTTGAAGTTCTGAGACAATAGGAAATTTAGAATTTCTATTACCTGAGAATAGAAAACACATTTTATATGTTTTATATATTATACGTTATATATTATATATGTATATATATATAAGCTCCTTTTATATTTTTATACTGTATAATATTTTAGATAATCTAAAATTTGTAGATTATCTAAAATATTATATAAAATAAAAAATATAAAAGGAGCTTATATTCCTTGGCACATTTAAGTTGAAGGTATATAGTATATAGTTTTTTAATCAACAGATGCTTTTAGCTTAAGATTTGTTTTTAATTTCTTATATTTTCTTTAATTTTTAAAAATTTCTCTCACTTCTTTTACTCGTCAGCATCTTCAGTAGAAGCTTAGAACTTTGACCTAAAAAAATACAGCCTCTGTATAATAATACCACCTTTCATTAATATAGTTCTTTCATTTTATAAATTACTATCACATACCTTATTTGACCCATACATGTCCCTGACAATTAGATTAGGCAGGTGGTATTGTCCCCGCCCCGTTTTTGGTTGAAGGATATTAGTTTCACAGAGGTTGAAACATGAACCCAGCTCTTCATACTCCAAATTCAGTGTTCTTTCCACCATGCTACCTGATACTTATGAGACACAAAATGTCAGAAGGCAAAGAATTCTTAAAGTCCTTTAAGTGCCACATCAGGAAGACTAGGTTTTGTTTATATTATCCTTTGCATAGGAACATAGACTTTGAATATGGAAAGCTAAAGACATTCTAATGATAAATACATTGCCCCCTTCTGGAGAAAAAGATGCTCTTAGAACGTTTCTTTCTAGATCTATATCTTTCTACAAAGATCTGAATAATAAGTAAGCTATTGCTTTGGAAATAAATTTCTAACTGATTCGATCTTAGACTTTCTTATTAGCAAGACCAGTAGGAGGGATTTTTGGTGTGTGTATGTGTGTGTTTGTTTTTGAACATGTGTCTGGCTTGTGCTCTTATGTAAGCAAGAAGGTTTAGAAATAAAAACCTGTGTAGTATTCATGTTTGTCTCCTTTTTCCCATTGCTTTATTAACATTGGTCCAAAACTTCTTGCTGATTCCTATCGTAAGAAAAAAGAATGCTGTGTTTATTATGTTCACCTTTAGTTTATTAACTTGTTGAATATTTGGACCTTTAACTCCATAAAGCATTATTCCTTACCTTGCTATTTCATGGCTTTTTGTCTTAGTTGAAATTTCTAGACTGATTTTCTGTTCCAAAAGAATTTCAACACTATTTAACTCGCTGTGGTCAAAAGTCCCTGCCATTACTGAGGTTTCATGAAAGAAATGATAGAATTTACATCAGAGAAAATTCAATTAAAAAACAAAAGGAAAAAAATAGAAAAGGAAAGAAGCACATTTACAGTTGACTTCTCTTTCCACTAAGAAAATAAAAAGAGCAACTTATACCAAAGATTAAATTACTATTCACTAAGTTTAAATGCCCCATATTTTCCCTTTTGTATTCAAATGGTACTCAGAGAAAGAAGCAGTGCCTTACGTTTGCATCATTTTTATCGCCAATCCATGAGTAGTAAGTTGCTTGGGCGGGTCTGGCTTCGGGCCTGGTCACTCTGTGCGTGGCGTGGCGTGTGTTGAGCTGTGCGCTTGGCTTTTGCACTAGGCTGTCGGTAGCAGGCTGGCGCTGCAGAGGGAGGCGAGCGCCTTGGCAGGCCAATCACAGCCCCCACCGCCGCCGCCGCCGCCGAAGTGGCCTGGAGCACCCTCAAGTGAGCAGCTGAGCTTGGAACTGCACCAAGTGGAAAGGGAAATCGGGAAGAGAACCCGGGAACTGAGCATGGTAAGTGCTATGGTGGGAAAAGAGAGGAAAGCTGAGAGGAAAGCCTCTGTGTAGTTGTGTCGCTGAACTCGTGGCTCTGGAGTTCTAGAATCATCTAGAGCTGTAGAATCATCACCCCAAGGCACTGCACTGAGTGATTAATACTGACAGTGAGTGTCCTGAAGATGGTCTGCCTCCCTGTTTTATCATTCTTCTCCTCATTCTCTTTTGGTTTGAGTGTGTTCTTTGTCTTAGTTTTCTGCATTACAAAAAACTTTTCGGGAAAACAAGGGGGTTATCTGGAAGTTACTAAATTTCTGTTAAATGTATTGATTAAGGAAGCAGAGGGCATGGTGTTTTTTGCAGTGCCCTCATGTTAAACAAAGATGTATTACCAAGTAACATTTCTAGGTTTCACAGCCCTTATGTTATTGATGACCTATTTTTTTGTCATGAGTGAGATGCCATCTACATATTATTTCTTGTGGAATTATATCCATAGATATGCTTAGGGTTTGTTTCATAGTGCATGAACACTCATTTCAGTAAATTTTTAGTCTTAGAAGATTGAGCCATTCCCTCAGATTGCATGGTAATTGTTTTTTTTTTTTTGCGTAGTTTTCACATTCTTTTTAAGCAAATAGATGGGATATTTCATTTTTCTGTTTTCAATAAGTGTATCATAGATACTTATTATATTTTGACTTGCTTTTTCTGAGTCATCAGTTTTTCTGTGAGATTTTTCCATGTTAACTTGAGGCATTTGTCCCCTTGCTATCCAGCTTGGATAGTGAGCAAGTGGGCCGTACTCCATTATGTTTTTGTGTATGTCTCTCCCTCTCTCTCTCTCTCTCTCTCTCTCTCT